ATTAAAAATTCTCTTTGACTTACCGTATATAAAAGAATAATCTGTAACTTAAATAGAATCGAATTCTTCAGTATTTCATTATGTTATGTTTTAATTTATTTTATTGCGATTAAAATGCGAATAAGATTTTCTGAAATATACTTACGTAATAAAGTCGTTTGGTGCCGCCTTCAGAATAAATTAAAGTTATTTCTACTTCATTTAATACGATTTTTTATTAAGGAACCACAAGCACTTACAGCTGTCTTGGAACTCGTTTCAATCAACGGTTAGTTGATGTGTTTTTATCAAGACAAGGCGGTCTATTAATAAAAGCTTTTAGGAGAAAAGTTGAGTCTGACATAATATTTAGTAAATATTACTAAAATGTAAAACAGTTAAGAGATACCTACAGCATATATTTGAAAGCGACTGTCTATATAGCTACCATTATAAATCTTAAATGTAGATATCTTATAATTAAAAAGTTTGAATTAAAATTATCTCGTCTTAGTAATTAAAATATTCTCTATGCAATATTCGATCATAGTTTTATAAACACATTACATTTATCGGGACTGATTAATTTGTCTGATGTTTCAATGTATATATATTTAAAACAATGTGCATAAAATATTATGAAATTGAATTAACTATTTCAAAAAACCTTGTTATTTTTAATTCCTGTGTTCCCTTTTCCTATTTCGTGTTTCCACCCAAATAGTATAACATGTTGTGTTTGCGACAAGTTGTGACGGATACAAAAATTATTCCGTTCACATTTTTCACAACATTTATAGAACTCTAATAAATAAAATGAAACGAACAATGTTTTAACATGTTTATTTTGTGTGTGTTTTTCCGTTTCAGATTACAAATTAAACATTTTAACTATAAGCTTCTACCTAAACATATGCTCTAATCATATTGATCGTATGCCTGTAGGGGAAAATTTTTAATGATACTAAATTATAGTAACGTTTAATTAATTATATTTAATTATGTACAATTTGGTGTAATTAATTACGTATCTACTACAATATTATTCACATCAAATATTAATAATATTTGATGTAGTTTGCACTCCACACGGTGCGGTCAGTGCTGTTATTAATGTGCTACACCTAGTTTAGCGCTCTCATGCAAATATTTGTACGTGAGGAAACAACAAACTTAAAGTTCAAAGCCAACAGATCCTAAGCTACGCTGTACTTGGACAGCGCTGGTTAAACTATAAATATCTACTCGAATAACGTGCACACATTGTACATACAAATAATTGACTAAGTGAATTAATTACTTGAAATCACTAGACTACTCTATTTTTATCTCCTGTTCCAATATAAAGAACCTACACTTTAGAACTAAATTTAATCGCCTTTTCAGATCGTAATTATGTACCCACTTACTTTAATTATGGATCATTACATGAAACTAATATAACATTTAAGGGGTCTTCCTATGTGATGGGTTGAAAAAATCGATTTTTTTTTTTTATAAATTGCTCCCTTAACATGTCTAGAATACGGTAGTAAAGCGATTTTAGAAAATTCGAAGTCGTTTTAAAGATACAGCAGGTAAAAGAAAGAGCGGTTCGGAGCGGTGAGTTGGCAGTTAGAGACCGGGCCTATTGTGTACCGTCGGCTTTATACCTGGCCTCCCTTTTATTAATATATTTGTTTATACAAGTTTAGACACGTTTCTACAGACTTAAACAGAAAAGGAGCAGGTAAACTTACTGATAAAGTTATCCAAGAAATTACAAAATTCTACGGATTAGCAATTCGACGCCATCCAGATTCGCTTGAAGATATGAGAAAGGAAGTTTGGGCAACGTACTATCACAAATGTTCTTCTGATGAAAACCCTCAGCATCAATTTTGTCCAGAAGGCGAAGACAGTTGGTGTAAATGGCGTAAGGCTGAAGCTAATAATGAACTGGACCAATTTCATCACGATAAACCACCTCTAATTCCGCAAGTCCAAGAAGCTATCAAACCGGTTTTCGAAGATTTATCGAAAGACGAATTATTAATTCGTTGTTTAGGAGCAGAGACACAAAACAATAACGAATCTTTGAATTCTTTGATTTGGACTTTCGCTCCTAAACATCTTCATTCTGGTCCCAAAGTTGTTGAAATTGCTAGCTACTTAGCAGTTATTATCTTTAATGAAGGTTTTCAAGGTATTTTAAAAGTTATGTCGATTATGGGATGCCCTGTTGGTCGTGAAGCCCAAGCGTATGTTGAGAAACGGGATGAAAAGCGAATCTTACGCTCTGAGCGGCGCGTAAGTGATGTCGTTAAACAAGCCAGGATTGACTCAAGAGCTGAACAATCTGCTTTAAAAGAGTTTCACGAGGAAGAGGAAGGAATACTCTATGGACCAGGCATCGCCGATTGAGAGTAAGTTGATATTTTAATAGTTTTTAACGGACTTGAAACTTTAAACGCGTTTTTCTCAAAACTGTGTTTTTCAAACTTTCCTCCATTGTATCTCAGAAACGGCTGGACCGAATTACTTGAAATTTACAGGGCACACTCAATATATGTAAACGCATGGAATGAAATCAAAACTTCGATTTTTTTATAGCAAAAAACAAAAAGAAAACGCCTAATTTGCAACTTTTATTTCAAATGTCTATCAAAAATCCAATTTTTTTTATATTCATTTGATTATAGGTCATTCCGTGCTTTTAAGCCTACAAATTAAAACGCCGTTTTTTTTTTTTTCAGATAAGCCGATCAGCCGGAATCGTGGAGGAAGTGGGAGCTCTTTTTTTCGAGGCGGGGGTGTTCAGAGCGCTGTAACTCTAGTTTGACTGAATATTTTTAGCTGAAATTTTATATTTATACTGTCCAAATATGTGTTAATAAATGATAAAAAACTTGAAGCTCTAAATATTTACTGGTCGTAGAAAAAAAATCCTAAAATATCCCTAAAAAACAGGCCGTCACATAGGAAGACCCCCTTAATAGATTTTATTATTATAGTAATGGAATAATAATATATTATTAGGAATCCTTCAATATTTCTAGTCAATCATGAAGTAGACATCTCGCTCAGTTGAATCTAGAATATTATGCTATATTTCAATGTCACACACGTCGCTTGCAAAAAGTAACTTTCGTGTTTTCCACAACCAATATTGCTTTCTAGCTACTAAGAAAAAAAAAATGACCGAAAAGTTATTGAATATTATCTAAAATTATCCATTTAATACGTATTTCTATATTTATTTATTATTGATTCACTTAAATTTAAAATAACTTCATATATGTTTCGTTAGTTTCCTAGAGTAGGTATTAGTGGGGTTCAGTTTGAATGCTTATGCGAGGAACTAAACATAAATCAAATAATCACGAAGTTAATAGCAACACAGACGTCTGTAAGCGAAACGTTACCCCAGGGATTGCTGATGTACCTACTTGCTAATTGTTGCCCGCCGTACCAACACCCTTCCCGCCCCCCTCCTTCCTACCACTCCTTCACGTATCGTCTCCTAAGCAAGTAATCTTTAGCTTCTGCGGCTCCTTGTCTATTTGCTAATACTTTACTTGACTAATCATCTAAGTGGTATTATTGACTCGACGAAAGCTGTTTCTCAACGAGCGTTATTAAAATCTATATCTTTAATGAGTGTTAAATATTTTGTACGAATTAATTGATACAAGATTTATATATTTCGTATTATAAATAGGAGGTTTTTTACGTAATTAAAATGGCAAGTAAGCTAGTTGCGAACCTGATAGACATTATTACATTATCCAAGTAATTTTTATCACTATTTTTATTTTACATTATTCAAGCCGTAATATACGATAGCCTAAAAATGATACGTCTAAAGATGGTAAATTTTGATATGCTAGAATCTTATCAAAACTTGTGAAGAGAAACATCTCTTCACAAGTTTTACTTTTCACGTAATTACTTCAAAATTATAATATATAACTATCTTCACATAATAATAAAAACGGTTTACTCCATTCGGTTTTAATATACTACGATGTGTCTAAACATTCTGTTATGTAATATTAATTTCATCACGCCAAAAGACTGGCGACAGATCTGAACTAAATTAATTTTAAACATGACTCTAATGCCAAAACATTAATTGTCATCATTAATATTTAATTGACTATGAAGGTAATAAGTAAATATTAGTTTGTAGTGAGTTGTTAGTCAACAAAATGCCAAGAGTGTATATCTCTGACATATTCGCACCCTATCTCGTCCCGCCACCTATAGAACTTTGCGTATACACGTCCCAGTATCTATTGTAGTCTAGAACTTCAAGATTCTTGAAGTCCTTATTATATAGCGTTAACTGGAAATAACAATAAACTTCACAATAGTTTATACGTTGGTTGCATTTAATATTTTAGTAATTATATTTCTGTAAATAAATATAGTTATATTAAGGTAGTTATTTTATTAATATCGGTTATATTGAATACACCTTTTGATAGGTGTAAAATTAAACTTATATTTGGCTACCTATATTAATTAAAGGTGAAAATACAGTATTTACAAAAATAGTGTGCATTAATATTAACTCATTGTTTATCTTAGTTACGTAACATGTTCAAGGCATAGATTAAATGAAAACAAACATAATAAGAAATTCCGAATAGAACTCGCGTTAAATTTAACTATCAGAGCCAAGGCACCGTTACCTACATGTCGTTTGGTTTGGTTGAGCTAAGCGATAGTCAGAAATAGATCGGAACAACCGTCAGAGATGATAGAACTGCCAATGCAAATGACATGCTATTCGAATCAAAATAGATTCTTGCGGTAATCAGAACTGTTATTGATGTTATTGATACAAAGAACAATAACATCTGAAATAAAATTTTGTTAGTTTGACGAAAGGCATAAGTAGAATATTAAGTGCTTTGATTTTGATATCGAAAGAAAGTTTGCTATATTATTACTTGTCTGGAAGATAGTTGTATTCAGTACTACTAATATTTATTTTTATAAATAAAATGTTAATACTACTGTTTTCTCGATTTCAGATTACAGAATCATTAAAACGCTTGCGTGCTGGCAAGAAGACATCCCGGTTCGCCGAAGACATAGACTTTGAGAATGCTGTGGCTAATATCGAGAACCGTGTGAAAATCTCTGATAAAATATTGGAGAGTGTTGGAATTGGACAATCTGAAATCAGCGGAGCAAGACGGGCACTGCAGGAAAATGAAGAACGCACAGAAAAACGCATCGCTCGGAGACTCAATGAAGAGAATTCACTAACAAAGTGGACGGCGTTAAAAAGCGACGATGAGAGCGCAGCTGCATTGAGAGCTAAAGCATCGAGAGCTCGCCTTTCGGATTTAGAAGATGAAATGACAGAACTTAATGAACGAAGTGCGGCAAGGGAGAAACGCGCAGCCCGCCTGCGTGCTCTAGTCGCTGACAGCGATACGATTGACTCCAACACAACTGCTGTCTCAGCTTCAAAGATTACCATCCGTGCTGAACGGGAAAAGAAACAAGTAACCTTCTAAATACTGCAAACGCTATCTTACTACCCGAGAAAACTCATTACTCTAAAACAGATGTTTTAGAGGATCGCAGTTGTGCTCTTTGTGGAGATAGATAAGTTTGCTGAGATGTGTTCTCCTGCATTTGTCATGTATAATGACCGACTTGATGTTTATTTTATACTTTTTGGATAGAATAAAGCGTTACGTATCCTCCTGTTCTCATTTGCAGTATTATATTTGAAATTCGTAATGTAATGAAACACAGTGTCCGTTAAAAGATTTCTAAATATCTGTAAACATTCTTGAATTAGAAAGTAATAAGTTGGCCTATTACAATATATTTTGGTTGTTGTATTTATTGTCTAATAAACATTTTTATATATAGATATAGGCAAAGAACTTCCACTTATGAAAATATTTATATGCCTTATTTTAACAGACAAAGCAGTTATAAAATAAGATCATGCTGACTAATTTTATTACAGGTTACCCTAAAACTGTAGGAAAACCCCGCTAACAACTGCGTGCTCGTTTCTATACTGTGTCAACAGCAAAAAATGCAATAGAACTTGTGACACCTAAAACTATGTTGTCTGTTGTAAAACTTAGAATTCAATTTATTCGTATTAAGTTTTGATTGAATGTCAAAGTTTGTTTGCTAATAAATAGTGAATTAAATATTGGCTAAACACATCGGTATTATACTTGGCATCATACTATTGGACAGTTAAATATCATTTGTCACTTTATTTCATACAGTCGATCTGTGTTACTCGAACATTACCTACAATATGTAGTATAAGACCCCAAAGATCCGTCTTGATCTCCAATAAAAGTATGCCATAGTAATTAGATTAATATGTTCAAAATTTCAGATATTGATACTATATTCCAAAATTCAACAATAGTAATAGAATTTTACAAATTAAGTAACTGATTTGACACAAATTACAGATTCTGTAAACACTTGCCATTTTATGCGTGTTTGTACATAGAAGTATTTAATTAATATCCAATCAAGAACAAACCACGACAATCGGAACACTGTAAAAAAAGAGTGGATTTTATCTGGACGATGTCCATGTAGATACCCAGTCAATGCCAGACATCTATCGTACAAATGAGTGTTTAATTCGTTTACATCTGCACATCTAACTAATTATTGTCATTATTTCAGACATTAATAACTGTCAACGTCTCATTATGCAGTCTTAATCAAATGTTACAGATGAACCTACCGCTTATTAGATACATATTACATTACATATCCAGATTGAAGTTAATTAAAAAGCCATCTCTTATCCCTGTCCATTTTGACTTACGACAATAATGAATAAGTTTCTAACATAAATGAGTTGATGCTTGATATTATTATTATTGTTTTAATGAAATTATATTATAAAATCCTAGGTAGGTATAATCTGTAGTCATAAGCCAATTATTTTACTTAAATATATACATATTCTACAAAATAAGACGCAGTTACTTAATAAGAAATTGTAAATTTAACAGGTAAAGTAACAAAAAATAAACGATCCGCAATTACGAATGTACGACTGAAGCTTCAACAAGCAGCTTAACTTATACTTTGTGGAGCCACTCAAATCAATATGTCAGGATAGCAACAGCACACGGAGTAACACACTTTATGAGAGATTATTTTGTTTGTAATTTGGCCCATTAGGTAACTATGTGGGCGTATCATTAGAACGAATCAACATATATTGTTGAAAAAGCTTTGGAATTCGGACGGTACTTTTTTACAGAAATTGGAATGGTAAACAAACTGATAGCTGCCAGATCTAGTATTAATATACACCTACTTATTTGAGCATGACCATTACATAACATAGGTTGTCTGTTAGGAGACCTCCTCCTACAGACAGGTCTCCTTTTGCACATGCAAAGTGTTATTTTAGTAAATGTTTTTCCAGTGCGTAATAAAGAGTTTTATTACTAACACATTGTGATGGCTGAGGTATCTACCATGAACTACGATACTGGAACTAGGATATCATACCTGATAATTTTATTCATAAATCTCACTCAGTGGTAGAATACGGTGCCTTATAGGTACCTACTCAGACTAATTTGAACAAAGATTCTGTTTGGTAATTATGAATAGTATATGTGTCAATAGCATGACATTAACTATTCATAATAATCAAAGAGAAAGATAAATCTGAAGTAAAATATGAAAATTATGATATGACATCATGAGCTCATATACACGCATGTTGCTTTTTATTCGTGAGATCTCTTAAAACGATCTTGAGAAATCAAACTTTTATATACGTAAAAACTTTACGTAATGTTATACCAGTATTCATGATTAGCAAAGACGATGTTCATTGTTTACTTTTTCGAAACATACGGATACCCGTTGCTCGAGGACCTGTAATTAGTGAAGCACCAACGCCTGTTTATGTAGCTATTTAAAGGAGAAATTAAATGCAAGAAAAGCAATCTGTGCATGTTAGTTTCTAGAAGAGACAAGGGACTGTAACTGGTGCACTGGATATCTACTGTAATTGTTTATGTACAGATTCATTAATACTCCATAAAATAGAACTGGGTATTAGTTGACATTTATAAAAATATTATTGTACAAGAAAATTATAGTAATAATAAATAGCTGTAGACAGTTAAAACTATAATACTATTCCTACATTTAGAGCTACCATTAAATCGAGAATTGGTATCTTAATTCATTTGATATTTCATACGGCGTTCAGACTTCTGACTAAATAAAGGTTGCCGGCAGACGCCAGTCTATTGCAAAGTTTACTTACTTAAATGGTATTGATTTAAGTAAACTTCAATAACTTTATAATAGTCAGGCATAAAGCAAGTAAAGAAACTTAAGTTGCGCGTTATTAATTAATGAATTCATGTATATTTTTTTAAATATCTACATATTAATAAACCCGCCTTAGGGATGTTTATGGTACCTACATATGCTTCTAACCCACGTCTCTTATATATCCGGACCTAATATATTCCCATGGAGGATATGTGAATAGTTGAACAGATTTCAAAGAAATCATGCATTGTAATGAGAAATAAATCATGTATAGGAACTGGAGCATGTTTTATGATAATCGTCCGAGACGATACAAAACGATCTACTGATCAACGGGACCATTAAGAGTGATCGTATTCATCGCATCTGTCTGTAGTAACCTGATCAGACTGTCCTAATTATTGTCTTATAAGCGAAGCGACCCGCAAGTAGTCTTGTCAGAGAGGCCGCAACAATTACACATATTTATTATAATACACAAAATCCAGTTTTGATTAATAAATTGTGCGCACTCATATTTAGCAACAGAGCTCTTAGAAAGATAATCGTATATAGAAAAGTCTATCTGTCATGGGTGATTATTTTATAGGATTATTTTAACACTGTAAGTTCTCCGCCGCATATGTTAACTTGTCTCATAGGCTGTTGGTTTGTATGTTAAGTTACCAACACAATATCTCTTTTAAAGAGAAACGCACCATTCCTCATTTCTTTTTGTTTACCAAAATGAATTTGCATATTGCAATTCAGGATGATTTCAGGTATCTCGGACATCTAGTAATATTATAGATCAAAGAGGTCTAGGTATCTCATGCATCTAAAGGTTGGAAAGGTAAATATCTGTTACTACCTTCGAGCGCCTTTAGTGAATTTACATACTGCAGCAACTGATAGATACGTTGTTTATTTTGAAACCAATTACTCTTCCACTAGTGCACAATGTTTATGTAAAATGAGGAACTTAATTAAGTAAATTGAAATTCTACTATACTCTTTAGGGAGGGGAGGGAGGGTGGATGAACAGTTTAATATTAATGCTTTCCAAGTATCTACGCCAGGACACGTCGTGAAATTTCATTAGTTCGCCCAACCTCGAGATTGCATCTAATCAATTTAATTAGAAGCCTATTTAACACATGATATATTAGTTTCTAATAAAGTCAAATTTCAAGAAACATAGACAATTAATTAACAATATTATCAAATGAAAAGCATTCATCAATATGGCGAACAATGTGGAAAGCTTACTGCGATTGTGTATTTGTGTAATATTATAAACGCAAAAGTTTGTAAATGGATGTTATTGTAAGTATATTTTATATTGAAATTTAATGAGGCCGCAGTTGCGCCCTCGCACCACTAGTATTATATATATATATGGTAAGCTGTAATCTTCCACTCTATACATGAACTGCGTATCACGTTATCAAGTGATACACGAGACACCACTCTTGGATTGGCATTCCAGAGGACTAAGATGTCATGTCTCTTATATTGTAATTAGTGCCAAATCACACAAGCTTGACAACCTATTAAGTTAAGACTAATTTATCCAAGCCGACAACTATTACAGTTTACCTCTTGTATACTGTAATGTAATATCATTATTGTTAATCACTTCTACCACAAAAGATTTATGTTAAAGACAGTAGATGGCGCATAGGAAGAGATAAACATAAAAACCATGCGCGAGTATGACGTAACCCAGTTGTACAAACTCCGCTCGTTATAACATCGTGCAGGTGACAACCATATAAATCACAAAAACGAGTTCACAGTATTCAACAAAATAGTTGACTGTAAAAAATTTACATTTATAATTATTAATAATACTTATGATTTTACTGTATGACTACACAAGTTATTTAAGAACCTTAGAAAGATTTAATTAAATTCAGTACGCTGAGTGACAGTTGATATTTTGGCATTTCTATTCAAGTAGCGCCTGTACACAGGTAATTCAGAAACATTCCGTACATTATTTATGAATAGATTGTTTTCAACAATCAGTAGAAATTTTATGAATTATATATTATTAGATATCTACTCTATAAAATAATATAAAAAGAAAGTATAATCTAATTATATGTGACAATAAATAATAGTTACCTACCCACATATTTGCCATAAGTATAACTCTGTATGCAGGCTGTATAAGGTTATTGCATCCCACGGCATATATTGCGAAAGTAGCAACATCTTATCTCCATTATCTCGAGAAATTCTATGCCATCCTATACACTACATAAAAATATTTTAATATAAACTGTCCATAGTAAACGCAATAAGCAAATATGTTTCTAATTAAAATAAAATATATTATTTCTGTCTGTCATGTTTTTTGACGCCCAATGTATATTAAATGTATGCATAAAATTTTTTGTAATAATTATAATTAAAGGCCTGGCCTGGCCAATAA